CGTGTGGTAAGCCTATCGTGACATTCTAATTATATAACAACGTACTATCTTAGCTTAACATCACATACTTTCAGCTGTACGTGGTGTAATTTTAAATGAGCAAATTGTATAATAAGCCTATCGTGACATTATGATGATATAACATCGTGCTGTCTTAGCTGAACAACACGTACTTTCAACTGTACGTCGTGTAGTTTTAAATGAGCATATTGTATGGCAGCTTTCGTGATATTATTATGATATAAGATATTGCTATCATAGCTCAACATCAAGTACTTTCAACTGTACGTCGTGTAGTTTTAAACGAGCATATCGTGTGGTTAGCCTATCATAACATTCTAATGATATAACAACATGCTATCTTAGCTTAACATCACCTAGTTTCAGCTGAAAATCATGTAGTTTTAAATGAGCATATCGTGTGGTAAGCCTATCGTGAAATTCTTATGATATAACAACGTTCTATCTTAGCTTAACATCACGTACTTTCAGCTGTACGTGGTGTAATTTTAAATGAGCAAATTGTATAATAAGCCTATTTTGACATTATAATGATATAACATCGTGCTATCGTAGCTTAACATTACAAAATTTCAACTGTACGTCGTGTAGTTTCACGTGAGCATCTTAGCTTAACACGTTGTATCGTGTTGTTTTAGGTCAACAAATTGTATGGTAAGCCTTTCGTTTCAATATAGTGGTGTAGCATCATGTTATCTTAACTTAACATCATGTACTTTCAACTGTGTATCATGGTGTTTTAAATCAACAGATTGTATGATAGACCTATCGTAATATCACAATGATATAACATCGTACTATCTCAGCTCAACATTTATTAATAACAAGTCAGCACCATACATTTTAGCTATTCATTTTATTTGTTATCATAGCTATCGAAGTGGACGACTGAGCAGTATCCATCTGCAAGCTAACATCATGCAACGTCAACTTCACATCATGTACTTTAAACCCAACGTTACGTGTGTTTGGCATATCATCACAACATCGTGACTTATCATTATACTATCACGACTAAAGCACTTGTCATTGCAAGTCAACATTGCGCAAATTCAACTTAGCATATTGTAATTTAGAGTTAGCATTTTGATGACTCAATTCAACATCACGCTGTCTTAACTTTACATTTAAAGCTTCAGCATAACGTTTTGTAAATCTCTAATATATGACAGCTGAGGCTTTCCATAAAATAATATTGACTTATTATAAGTCGGTCCCTTTAAACAAACCTAAACACAAACATTAACTTTTAAACTATGTAAAAGTTTCAAAGTCAATGAACCATGATCAGGGGTGGGGCTATATAATCTCCATGGAAACGATACTTGCAAATGCCAATAAATTTGCATACCAAATATCACTGACTTAACATTAGCAGTTCATCTTAAACTGTTCTTATCACAAACTAATACATGTAAACTAAGAAAAAGTTTCAAAGTAATTAGACTACGACTGAGGGGGCGGGGCCAAATATTCTCCATGGAAATGAGATGTGCTAATGCTTATACAACTGAACACCAATTAACATTGGCCTACCACTAATGGTTCCCCTTGAACTGACCTAATCACAAACTAATACATGTTAACTTAGCAAAATTTTCAAAGTCTATAGACCATGACTAAGGGGGCGGAGCCAAATAATCTCCATGGAAATTATATATGCCAATGCTTATACAACTGCATACCAAATATCATTGACCTACCACTAGTGGTTCCCCATAAATTGACCTAATCACAAACTAATACATGTAAACTATGAAAAGTTTCAAAGTCAATAGACCTTGACTGAGGGGGCGGGGCCAAATAATCTCTATTGTAATGAGATGTGTCATTGCTAATACAACTGCATACCAGTATCATTGACCTACCAATAGTGGTTCACCATGAACTAGACCTAATCACAAACTAATACATTGTTGACGCTGCCGCCGCTGCTGCCGCCGGAAACAGCATACCTATGTCTCGCTTTTTGACTCCGTCAAGGCGAAACAAAAATCATCATTAAAGGGCAATAACTCCTTTAAGGAGACAACCATAGATTATTCAAATTCTGTCATCTTGACAAATGTGTAAATCTTACCTTCTTGATCATTTTTGCCCTTTAGTTTTTCTTTATCTACTACATTTTTGGCCAAAAATGCAAAACTTGTAAAATCGTCATTTAGGGACAATATCTGCTATAAGGAGTCAACTGACAATTTTGGCCTTGTTGACAAATTTATTTATCTTGCCCTGCTGGTCATGTTTGTGAATCTATAATCCTTTTCAAGATAATAAGCAAAGATGGAAAAAACACCATTTGGCGTCAATTATTGGCCACGTTAAGGTAATTGTTGATATTGTTTTGCTGATCATTTTTGGCAGTTTTTTTTTATCTTTTATGGTTATCAAGATAATAGGCAAAAAATAAAAGGATAAAAATCATCAATTAAGGGCAATAACTCCAATAAGGAGTCATACAACTTCGCTAGCCAAGGGTTACGATCCACTTCCCTCCTCTCCACCCTTGGCAGATTAAGCCAACATTTGTGATAACAATGTTGCGCCATCTATAGGTAGATTAAAGATACGCCCATTCCGAATACATTATTCTTGACCAATGGTAGCACTTGAACTCTTCAATTTGGAGGTAAAAACACGGTAGCGTCTAGATTCTACACACTTGGTAAACTGGTAAAGCAGGAAACGAAAATATACGTTGACATTCATGCATTTGTGCAAGAAACATACACAGGAAGTTCTGTTAGTTGATTAAAAACATTCAAATTGTCACTAAATATAGTCGTATGTTTAGGGATGTAAAGACTAGTTGCACAGTAAGCACGTGGCAATTGTTTACATACACTTTCTACATTTACACGTGATCATGTTATATGCGCTTTTTGATTGGATGCAGCGAGTTTCGACTGCAACCAATGAAAATCATTACCTTGTGTCTCTGAAATTCTATCTCAATCCGCCAAGGGTGGAGAGGAGAGAAGTGGATCGTAACCCTTGGTTAGCGAATATGGGAGTCATATGAGTTTTGGTGAAATGGGCATCTGGTAGATATAAACATTCTGAACCATTCTGCATAAACCATTTTTTCTACATCCATAAAGGTTTTCAAGATAAAAGACAAAACTTGTATTTTACTCCTATGTTCTATTTTCAGCCATGTCAGCTGTTGGATGGTAGGCAGATCACCTGACACATTTTTTAAACCAAATACTGTAAATTCAGAAATTATTGCGTGCATTTATTATTGCGATTTTGTCATTTTAGACTAAAATGCGATTTTAATTTTTGCGATATTGAGAAAAATCCTGATTAATTCATATAAAAAGTTTCAAAATGCGAGTTTATAACCCTGTGGCATTTTTCGCAATAATAAAAACATCGCAATAATTTCTGAATTTACAGTACCCCAATGAAGATTGTGGCCAAGTTAGTTCTAATTGGCCAATAGTTTTAGAAAAGAATATTTTTGTTAAAGTTCATGTTCTACAACAGATGACGAAGACATGACACTTAGTTATGAGAATAATCATTAAAGATGCCCAAATATTCAAGTATGGTTGCAATCCTTTATGTGGTGTTTGATTTGTCACCCAGAAACCACTTTTCAGCTCAAATTTCAGGCTATTTTCAGTAACTATGACAATGACCTTGGATGTAGTGACCTCAAAATGAACAAGGATCTTTCTCTCATTATATATGACTATATACAAATTTAAGTATGGTTGCAATTTTATACAAAGTTTTGGGGTTATCAACCAGAATCGAAATAACTAATGAACAAAATCACAAACGAGTCAAAAACTATACAGCGTTTTTATGCAGTTCCCTAACACTGAAAATGAGGTCAAGACAAATGACATATGCCAGACAAAAACTTCAAAACATAAGGCATGTGTATACAAGATACAATGTATTAAGTATCCAGGTCTTGTACCTTCTGAAACATAAAGCCTTATACAAATTGTTTACGCTGACCTCACTACCATCAGATTCATCCCTGTCTCGCTTTCTGTAACATACGCAGACAATAAATGAGGAATGTGTCCATGGGACACAGATGATGCCCCCGCTTGCATATAACGTTATAAAAGGACATAACTCAAGAACTGTAAAAGTGACGTTACCCAAATTTGTAATTGATCCAAGTTTGGGGTAATAAACATTGTTTATAAGTTTCATAACATTTAGTTGAAGCAAACTTAAGTCAGAGAACGGAAACGATAAATTCAGAATTTTTTCCATTTGTAAAGGGGCATAACTCTAGAACGGTAAAAGTGACACCACCAAAATTCCAACTTGATCTGTGTTTTGTAGAAATTAGCATTGTGCATAAGTTTCATAACATTTGGTTGAGGCAAAGTAAAGTTAGAGAACAGAAACGAATATTTCAGCAATTTTTCCATTTGTAAAGGGGCATAACTCTAGAACAGTAAAAGTGACACCACCAAAATTCAAACTTGATCTGTGTTTTGTGGTAATAAGCATTGTGTATAAGTTTCATAACATTTGGTTGAGGCAAACTAAAGTTAGAGAACAGAAACAAATATTTCAGCAATTTTTCCATTTGTAAAGGGGCATAACTCTAGAATGGTAAAAGTGACTCCACCAAAATTCAAACTTGATCTGTGTTTTGGTTTTGTATTTTGTGTATAAGTTTCATAACATTTGAATGAGGCAAACTAAAGTTAGAGAACGGAAACCAATTTTGGGACGTACGGACGTACGTACGTTCATACAGACGGACAATGGTAAAACTTAATGCCCCCTCCGCTACGGTGGGGCCATAAAAAAGTTCAACCAGAATAAAGGAAACACTCAATCAGTAACTAAACAGGGCATAACTGCTGATGTTACTAAAAGAGACTAAATTAGTATTATGCTCTGGAAGGACTCCATGACAGACAAGTGCATCATGATATCCCCTTGTAACTTAGTAGTGTGGGCATAAAAGAAAATAAACTAGAATAACAATACAAATCTTAGCACTATAAATACTAGTATTTTCTTTATCAAATACAATTTAATATATTTTTGTAACAATGTTAAATGAAAATTTTTTGTTCCCTGATTTTATTTTCAATGCGGATACATCATAACTTTGAATTCATCTGACTCATCAATTTTTCTAATTTCATAGCTAAACCCATGTCCCCTTTGATCTTGAGCTTTCCACCCATGAATGCCGCCACTGCCTTTAATTCTCCTTTGAACATTTTAGAAAAGTCAGCACTGTCCAGGGTCATTTCACAATCAGCGCCACCTGGTGCTGGCCCTTTTCCTACAGCTCCACTTCCATTTTTCAAGTCCAAGTACCATTCTCCCGAGTCTGCACCTGGAATAGAATTTAAATGGTCACAAATTTTGTTTATTAGCTGTCAATGCTAATAGTATGAGGAAGGCTTTACATAGGTTTTGGTTTCTGTTGCATTGACATTTACCTCACAAATATTCTTTTTAAACATCTAGTAAAATATTTGCTTCCTTGCATTTTCTACTTTACTAACATTAAAAATCAATGTATAAAAAAGAATAATTATCGGTAATCCAAGAATTAAAATTTAAAAAAATATTCAAATTGTAACTGAACAACACTGATAATTAACCCATTAACTCTACTCATTTCTGAAATAATGGTTTTTAGATGAGACTTGTCGTGTCCTTAGGATAGCCCAAGACAATTTTTTAAAATAAAATGGCCTAACTGTTTTTCATTTTCTTCAAGCAAACTAGTTATAATCCCAAAATTTTGTTGTTGATCATTTCTGCTGTTTACATTTTTCTTTATCTATTGCAGTTTTTGCATAATATGGACCAAAAAAAGAGGATAAAAATCATAATTAGAGGACAGTAAATCCTATAAGAAGTCAACTGAAAATTTCATATCATTTTTGCTGTTTACAGTTCTTTTTTTATCTTTTGGTCAAAAATGCAAAATAGAAATGGTAAAAATCGTCATTTTTAGGGACATTAACACCTGTAAGTAGACAACCATCGCTTTCAGACAAATTGACTATTTTTTTTATTTTGTCCTGCTGATAATTTTTCCAAATTTTAGTGTCTCTTCATCTATAATAGTTTTTAACATAATAAGCAAAAAAAACCCCAAAAAATGGTAATAATCATCATAAGGGGCAATTACTCATATAAGGGGTCGACAAATGATTTTGGCCATGCTGACTTATTCGTAGACCTTGTCTTGCTGCACATTCTTTTAAGTTTACACTTTCTATCTATCTTTTATAGTTTTCGAGATAAAAGCAAAACGAAAAAAAAAAATATGATAAAATCTTCATTCAAGGGTAATAACTCCTTTTAATGTGGACTGGTGAATTTAAACACGTGGACTGATTTGTAGATCTTGTAATGCTGATCAATTTTGCTAATTAACGTTTCTATCTATCTTTTATAGTTTTCAAAATATTAGCTACAAAATGCTCCATGGGCGCAGCTTGATACGACAAACAGTCCTACCCAATTGGGGCAAGTATAAGCACTACATTCAAGCTTGAAACAGCTCTGAACTTGGATTGTGATTAAAAATTTGACACAGCATAAGTTTCTGACACAGAATGAATGTGGTCAAGGAACTGAAAAATTTGAACTTGGACTTTTACTTATTATAGTCCAATATCCAAAATCTAAATACACCGTTAGATTCAGCATATCCAAGTACACCAATAATTAAATTTACTTATTTATCAAAGGACAATGTTAGCTAAGTTTTTAAAATGCTCCATAAAGGAATATAGTTTAAGCTGTAATTGGTAGGAAACCTTTTATTAAACTAACTAATATTTTTTGGTGTTTGAATATTGCTACAAGTGGGTACAGATGGATGTGTACGATAATTGAGTTTTTTTTGCCATCAGGTAATGATTGAAGTTTTTAAACATGTTGTGACTTTGGGTGATGGGAAAAGGGAGGAAATTCATTTTTCTTGACATTGTTAAAACTGTTGCATTTAGAAATTAATATTGATAATTTAGCAATTTTAGCAATGAATGATGTAGTGGAAATTAAATGCAGAATAAAGTTATATCTAAGTTAAAAGGATAAATACAATTATATTATAATGAAATGATTTTTTTTAATATTTTGGCAAAATAGGATGATAATATGGTATAAAATAGTGGCATGAAATAGGGCATGATTTGTTAGTTGTGGTTTATGGGATTGTTATCATAAGTACTTTAATTAGAAATGTGAATATGTGGTTAGAATTGTTTTGAAAAGTGATATCAAAAGATGACATTAACGATGTTTGTTTTAGAGTGGATTATCAATAAATTGTGGTTTAAGTTATTTCCTTTTGAACAGTAATGTCAATATGGAGTAAATTGATTTAAGTATATGTGGAAAATGTTTAAATTATTATCTATTAATATATTTGAATGAGAATGCTGATAATTTGTTTATTTTGGTGATGCATCTTTTATAGATTTAAGATGATGTGGTATGAGTGCCAATGAGACAACTCTCCATCCAAGTCACGATTTGTAAAAGTAAACCATTATAGGTCAAAGTACAGCCTTCAACACGGAGCGTTGGCTCACACCGAACAGCAAGCTATAAAGGGCCCCAAAAATGACTAGTGTAAAACCATTCAAACAGGAAAACCAACGGTCTAACCTATATAAAAAACTAGAAATGAGAAACTCTTATGAACCTCATCAAGAAACGACAACCACTGAACATCAGGTTCCTGACTTAGGACAGGTGCAAACAAATGCAGTGGGTTTAAACGTTTTAATAGGCGCCAACCTATTTAAAGTCCACTAGACAATTGATGTGATGTTAGGAAGGAGGTAATTTTTCATTGTTTATTGGTTTTATGTATGACTTTGATTGTTAGAATGTTATTTTGAATTATTAACTGTAGAAACATATATTTCGTGGTTTTGTCTCTTTATAAGATTTCATGGGGATTTAATTTCGTGGTTTCCAGTAAATGGAAGTGATATTATATGTAGATTAAATTTTCGTGGGGGTTTTAATTTCGTGGATATATTCTTTCCAACGAAATTAAATCCTCCATGAAAATTTCTGCTTTTACAGTATTTAATAAACTTGTATGGACCAAAATGTATGTGATTCATTCTAGAGGGGGGTAATTGCAATGCATATCTGTAGAAAAGAAATTTTTATGTTCATCGAGGTTTAAAAGTTATGTACAGAACATTACAAGAATTACATTTTTTGTGGGCAAATATATCTGATTGGAATTTCATATTAGGTTTTGTAGATTTAGTCAGGAACTTTTTATTACAGGGACTGGAAACTTCTTTCAATGATAAACTTTTCATAAATATAGTTATATAAGTTAACGAAGTTTAATATTGGACCCTTGGATCCTGATGTGGACCATTTTGAATAAACTGTTGACACAGAGATATGTCTCGCCTGTCTGCATAAAATTCAGAAAAAGACAATCTGATGGACAGCAACATTGCTTATCAATTAAAAGTTGCTGGACCATGATCTTGTGGGCAGGGCCTAGAAATGGACGACAAACTGAGATGTACTGATAGTAATGCAACTTATACAAAATATCATTGATCAATCACATGTAGTTCCTATTAAACTAACTTAAGCAGAAAACTTAACATTGAAAATTGTGATGCTAGTTAATGATGCTAGTTAATTCAAAGTTGCTAGAAAATGGCCTAGGGGGCAGGGCCTCGAAACAGTTGTCAAAGTGATATGTACTGATAGTAATGCAACTTTGTATTAAATATCAATGATCTATCACAAGTAATTCTTATCAAACTAACTAAGCAGAAAACTTCACAATTGTTGTCACCACCACTGCAGCCGTCATCAGAAAAGCAACCCCTATATATGTGTCGCTTTCCAAGACTTTTGCAGCAGGTGAGACAAAAATGGGCCCAAATCCAAATACGTGGTAAGATTAATCATATCAAAGAACCCCAATATTTCAAGATTATTAAAAACCCCATTGAAATTGGTCAGAAATAAGCAATTAAAACAAAGTTTAAAAAATTGCTTGTTTTTACCCCTTTTTGGCACTTAATTTCTAAAGGGATACAGTTTTCCTTTTTTGGTATGGAACCTTGTGGTACAATTTCATACAAATCAATACACTTATACTTAAGTTATTGTCGGAAACTAGAAAAATGTTTGTTTTTGGCTGCTTTTTGGCCCAAAATTTTTAAACCGTAAGGGCCATAATCCCTAGAATCAATCCCAACCTTCCTTTTGTGGTATGGAACCTTGTGATACAATTTCATAGAGATTCATACACTTATACTTAAGTTATTGTCTAGAAACCAAATGTCTCCAGATGATGACAACATCACCATACCATTATACAGCGGCAAAATTTGTGGTCGTATAAAAATGAAAGAAAAAAATTTGGAAGAATTGTCATTTAACGGCAATAATTCCTATAAGGAGTCATCTTACAGTTTTGATATAAATGGATAGTTGTAAATCTCAACATTCTGAACATTACTGCCCATGTCACATTTTCTCTATCTATAGTAGTTTTCAAGATAATAGACACAACTAGCATTTAACCCCTGTGTTCTGTTTTTAGCCATGTCAGCCATATTGGTTGGAAGGTAGGATCACCAGTTAAATTTTTAAAGTAGATACCCCAATGATAATTTTGCAGGGGTTTTTCTGGGTATTTTGGAAAAAAGGACCCTGGCCAGTTTTGGGATTTTTTTACGCGATTTTCAATGCAATTGGGAAAAACAAAAAATATACCAGATGAAAGTTTTATTGTGTTGAGTTGAAAATAAAGTAAGAAACTACATGATTGCTATTTATCATTTTCTTTTCTTTTCTTTTTGTTTTTAAACTTAACAACAAGGCACTCTAGTTTATCTTAGTATCAAAATATAGTAGTTCTTAAAGCACACATGTGATAAAAATATACCGCTTTTTTATCTTCAAAGACAGTAACAGTTAACATGGTTAATATAATAAATAATTCAGGGATTGAAATAAGATGTATTTTAACTGGCCAAGCAGGATAACATTTTTATTAAATTCAGTTGCTCTTGCTTTTCTGGCCCTTCAAAATTGAGAAGAAATTACCTCTTGGATCTGTAGTTCTATGTTTACATTATAAAAACATCTAATATCAACATTTTTTAGTGATAAAGAAAAGTTATGTCACATTTCATTGGATTTTGACATGAAAATTTTTGAACTAAAAATAATTTTGAGTTTCTGGATAAAATAATTCCTGTTTCTTCTTCCTTTTTCATATATATTTTGGGTTTCAATTCTAATGTTTATATTTCATAGATGTATTTTGTCACCTGCCTGGAATTTTTTTTTTTGATTTATTCATTGTATTTGATCAGCAAACCCGGAATTAGCCTTATCCGCTCCAGGATTAGTATTGTTCTTGTCTCCATTTCCAGTTTATGGCAGCCATTGTTTGTCAATGTTTTTTTTGTCAGTCGGATACGTTTTTACTCGGATTAACACATTACTTGTTGGCGATTTTCTGCATAAAGCTAGTGGTTGAACAAAATGAACACCGCTGTCATGAATAATAAAGATGAACATGAATTTTGAGATCGTTTGGGAATTTTGCTTCCAAATTTGGAAAAATGTAGGGTTTTTGCCATTGGGAATGGGTCCGAATACCAGACCCTGTGGAATGCTAGAAAAATCCATGTTTTGACAAAGATTGGTTTACATTGGCCCATTAGTTTCAGAGGAGAAGATTTTTTGTAAAAGTTAAAGGACTGTGAGAGATGACTATGGACCCCAAGTGATGAGAAAAGATAACTTGAGCCTTTGGATCAGGTGAGCTAAAAAGTGAATGAAACAAAAATACAACTCATTTCTATTTTTATTTTTGAATCTTATTTCTATTACAAAATGGTTTCATAAAAGTTTCATCTACTTTCATGGAAAAAATAGCTATTATCAAACATAATCTCCCTTCTCAACATGAATCATGAATTTTCAAACTCAAAACAAGTTTGCCATTGAAAATAAATAAATCTTTACCTGATAAGTTAAACTGAAAAACCCCTTTGGTACTATCGACTAAATCTTCATTTAACATGGTTTTAAGCGTCTGGAATGTTGCAGCTGGGCCCCCTGTAGATGCACTACCAAATGCTGGTTTGGCACCATCTTCAACCATCTGTTGTCTCAATATATAAGGGTCTTCATCCAAGAAGAAATCAGGTAGTAGTCTGTTTCCTAAAAACAAATGTATAAAAAAAAAAAAAATGCTCAAATACAGAAATCATAAGGCTATGTATTTTCTCAGACACTAAGTCCATAAATTATTTGCTTCTATTTTGACTCCTGCAAACATGTGAGTTTACTTGACTTTAATGTAACATACTGGTTTTTTTTATTACAATCAGAAGTTAAAACCCAAAGATTTTGATCTCAGTTAGAGATACACTGTGTATTACACATTTCAACCCCTTTCACCAATTTTAAGGCAGTATACTTTAAATATGGATTTAAAAAAAAATTCTATTAATTTTTGTTCAATGATAATAAATACATGTATCAGCGACAAATATCTTGAAAAGCAGAATATTTATTGAACATGGCCTTATAAAATTGTTTAATTCTTCCTACATGCCAAAGACAGATATCTTTTAGACTTTGCAGTACCTGACATTACCTTATAAATTGTACAAATTTCCATATATTAAGTCCCTAAAGCATTGTCAATGATCTATAATAGTAAATAGTTTAAAATGAAACCTTAAATTGGAAAATTTTAACATTGAATTGATTTGAATTTGCTTGTCATTGGAGCAAGAAATATCAACTGCCAAGTATAAAATTGATATACATAATGACACATTCTATGCAAAATGTCCTACGTCAGTTGCTTTCATATTGCCTAAACTTTAACATTTGTATTCATTGTGTTATTCTATTTTCAACCTTTTGATACTTTACTGTTGTTTAAGTGCCAGACTTTGTAAGAATCAGGCAATTTAGAAAAAAATCAAAACATGGCCGAAAAAAACCCACCAACCTAACCACCCTATTATCATCCTGAGTAAGAATTGTTAGGTATTTCGTTTCTGCGTAATTCAAGATATATCTAAATAAATTTTGGTTAGAATGATAGCAAATTACGGAGTTATCTCCCCTTAATTGTTGATTTCTAGTGCATTTCAACCAATACTAGAATTACTAGAACTGGGAAAGGAAACGAATGTTATATTCATGCACCATTATACATTCTGAACTCAAATTAATGTAAAGGTGAGTGGGTTTTTGTTTGTCATGTTTACGCCACTGCCTGATTCTTAGGCAGATTGGCACTTTAAAACATTACACATAATTTTTGAAATACGTGAAAGAATACATAAGTATTCGATAATCAGGAATTTGATGAGCAATGAATCTGAAAATGTACCACACAGTAAAGCCTCACATGAAGTTTTATACCAAATTTTCTGGAAGCTTTGAATTGTAGTTCCTGAGAAAAATGCAACCAAAATCTTATGGGATGGAGGGAAACACAGACAGACAAAATACCAATTTACCCCCTCCTTTAGTGCAGGTGTTTTATTATAACTACCGGTAATTGTATTATAATAAATACCTGGAACACAGGCATACTGATCTAAATCTGTAACCCCAGCAGCCTTCAATACTTCATCATCAATAGCAAAGTTCCCTGTGTATGATTTGCTATCTTTGATAAACATGACATAAGCAGCATCAGACATGATCTCTGGTTTACGACATTGTTTAGCAACAGCATCACTTCCTCCTAACATTTCCATGGCTGCTGTTAAAATTGCTGCAATTAACAAAGATATATATCTTTAATAATTTAATCCTGATTGAAAATAGTAGATGCTCTAAATGTAAGATACAGTAAAATAAAAAAACAAACAAACAAACAAAAGACAAACAAACAAACAAAAAACAAAGTACCAATGTCTCTTGTTTATCTGTCTATGGGCAACAACACCAATTTATCTTATTTTGTTTTTCCTAAATTTTCTTCAAGAAATATAGGAATGAGACCGTTAAAATTTGATCGGCACTAATTTTGTTACTATAAAATCAACTATCCACCCGAGTTCAAATGAAAGGGATGTAAGCAATTAAAGACCACCTTAAGGCCTTCAACAATGAGAAAAAACCCATACCATATACTGTTGATTTATTTATTTTCGTGGGTACCAATTTTTGTGGATACTTGATTTCGTGGTTTTTCGCAAATCTTTTTACAAACTTATAGAAATTTTGTACCTTGTTGAAAATTTAAATTAGTGGTTCACCTTTACCAATGAAATCAACGAAAATTGGTATCCAATATAATGATGAATTCACAGTAGTCAGCTATAAAAGGCCCTGACATTAAATGAAACAATTCAAACGTGAAAACTAACTGCCTTTGTTGCCAAATGTGTTAATGCAGGTTGATCCAATGAATAATAGATTTTAATTAAACCAGTCAACCAAGTTATCTCATCTGTGAACTGATGAATGGATGAATGGATTGGTGTTTAATATCTCGTGGTAAATATTACATGTACATGCATATCAGCACAAGAACATGTTAAATGTGATTTGAATATGAACCCTACTTTGAACTATACTGAGATGCTAAGCTATATTTGCTTTTAAGACTCCTAAAACCCTTTGCTTAGCAGAGAAGAAGCAAATACTCATTTTTAAGACCTTGGTTTGACTAGGCTGGGAAAAATACTGTCCTAGGACTGAAATACAAAAGCTGAGGTAAATTCAAACCAAATAGGTGTAAATAGCAAAGATTTATTATGTAATTTGAATTATTAAAAAGATCTAACCTTCATGTTTTATTTTATTTATTTTTTTTCAATAGGTCAGACAGGTCCTCTGTCATAGGTAATATCAGAGGAATACCTTTTATAGCTCTATCCAAGGGGTCAGACAGGTCCTCTGTCATAGGTAATATCAGAGGAATACCTTTTATAGCTCTATCCAAGGGGTCAGACAGGTCCTCTGTCATAGGTAATATCAGAAGAATACCTTTTATAGCTCTATCCAAGGGGTCAGACAGGTCCTCTGTCATAGGTAATATCAGAGGAATACCTTTTATAGCTCTATCCAAGGGGTCAGACAGGTCCTCTGTCATAGGTAATATCAGAGGAATACCTTTTATAGCTCTATCCAAGGGGTCAGACAGGTCCTCTGTCATAGGTAATATCAGAGGAATACCTTTTATAGCTCTATCCAAGGGGTCAGACAGGTCCTCTGTCATAGGTAATATCAGAGGAATACCTTTTATAGCTCTATTCAAGGGGTCAGACAGGTCCTCTGTCTTAGGTAATATCAGAGGAATACCTTTTATAGCTCTATCCAAGGGGTCAGACAGGTCCTCTGTCTTAGGTAATATCAGAGGAATACCTTTTATAGCTCTATCCAAGGGGTCAGACAGGTCCTCTGTCATAGGTAATATCAGAGGAATACCTTTTATAGCTCTATCCAAGGGTCAGGTATTTTTTTTCACAGGATTTCAGTTATTTTTTTTAGGAGTAATTTTTTTCAAATTCAAATTAATACCAAAAGTCACACATTAAACAAACCGTTCAGCTGTTTTACAGAATAAACTACATAATTTTTTATATAATTTTATAACAATATTTTAGAATGATTTGTGGTATGTAACAGTTTATAATTCAAATGATTTAAATGGCTTTCTATAGATATGTCTGCCTAACTGCTGTTCTTTAAAAATTTAAGAGTTGGGATAACTTGGTAGGAAAATATATCGATGAAAAACATGGTTATTATTCTATGTTTGATTATATTTGATTAAAAATTAATATAACTTTATACTGGAAACTCAATATTCTCCTTAAAAACGAAAATATTTAATAAATTTCATTTTCTAATCTTAATACCTGTTCTTGGCCATAGAGCATTGACTGCTATGCCATCTCCTTTCAATTCTTCTGACATTCCTAACACACACATAGACATTCCATATTTGGCCATTGTATAAGCTGCAAAGGTATATTATAATGAAAAAAGATCTTATCATCATAAGAAATCAGGGCTGACTTTTTCTCACTTATCAATGAGGCACCTGAGACAAAATCTCCTCATATGAGAGGGGTTCTAATTGTTCTATTTCACTTTTATATTCTATATGTTTCTATAGTTGCTAGCTTTGACATCATTTGGTCTCTGGTGGACAGTTGTCTCATTGGCAATTATACCACATTTTCTTATTTGTTTAATATAGGACTTTATATATTTCCAAGTGACAAAAACCATACAAAGAATGATTTACTTTAATATTAAAAAAATCAAGTTTTAATCAATTTATAGAAAAGCAGTTGCACTAAGAGAAATATTATTTTAATTATGAAAAGTAAGAATTATATTTCATGTAACCCAAAAATTGAATCTTACCTACATGATCTTTGAACCACTTGGGATTCATATTAAGGGGAGGGCTTATGTTCAGAATATGTGGATTACTGCTCTTCTTCAAGTAAGGTACACACACATGTGAACTGTAAAAAATAAATGTTCTCTTTGTTAGAAGAAATTTTCAATGAAACAGATTACTGTAAGGTACTAACAATTCGTTTTAATACAAAAATGAATTCCTTGAAACTTGGGGGTTTCAACCCTTGTCTGATACATGTTGTGACTGTGGTCAATAAAATTAAAGAAATCTTATTAATTATAGAATTTTTAAAACAAAAATTTGAATATCAAAACATATTTAGCAAGCCACTGAACACCTGAATGAGGGTCGTAATGGGTGTACCCTCATGACAAATAACGGTAAAAAATCTTGCCAAATGACATTAACAATAATTTTGGGTGCATGATGATAAAATGTACACTTTTTTAAGATGATAAAAAAGTCGACTGATTTTGACAAATCACGTTAAATTTTTTCCAAAAATAACGGTAACGATAATTATTTGAGACCTCTGACGAATCACGGTAAAATTTTAACCAATTTGACGCGAACAGTAGCCGAAAATGACCGTTTGACGCCTGATGGTAAAGGGCATTCCTACCCTCCTAAATGTGCATTACACGAGTGAATGATCATATTGATGGGTCAGTGTCACTAGTTTTTTATATTTGAATATTCTTTCTATTACGATGCATAATGATATATAAAGCAGAAAACATTAGGAACTATATCTTTTTACACACAGTCATCTGATTTTGATGCAACTTCCTAGAAAATATTTTTAATGTTTAATAGCCATCGATCCATCCAAAAATGTTATGCATTTACTGTAATTATAAAGTAAAACCCCAGTTGCATGTAATCAGTGTTTTACTATGTTAATATATTTACAATTTGGGTACCCTGTAATTCAGTGATTGCTGTTAGTGGCTGTCTATTATATTTGTTTTTGGTTTAATATTTTGTACATAGTTGGTTTTCTCATTTGAATTGCTTTACATTTTGTCATGTTAGGGCCTTTTAAAGCTTATCATACAGTTTAGGTTTTGCTCATTGTTGAAGGCAGTACAATAACCTATTGCTACTTACATCTACATCATTTGGTCTCTGGTGGATAGTTCCACATCTTTTTACTTTCATAATGAACCAAGAATATAAGCGTTCAATGAAATACTACTTCCATAAAGGCTTGTCTGCAAAATTGTGCAAAACCTTAAAATTTTAGTATCCATGAAAATACAATTTTTCCTCAATCCACAAATATTGCATTGGTATGCATCAAAATACTGAAAATTCAGAAATTATTGCGATTTTTGAAGAATGAACAAAAATGAGAGTTTAATTATTGCGATTTAAGAAAAAGCTTTATACAGTTATACCTATCAGATTGCGAGTTCTTATTTTTGCGATACTCAAGGAGTCGCATCATTCACATTAATAAAAACCTCGCAATAATTTCTGAATTTACAGTAAATAAATCCTCAGTAATCGTCAGTATATATGCAGATTTTACCATAAGTAAGTTCCTCTGCCATTTATTTGATTCATCAAGTCATATTTCTTCATAGAAGTTTCTACTGTTCCAGTCAGACTGATAGCACTTGCATTGTTTACAAGAATGTCTATACCACCAAACTTCTGTACAGCATCTTCTACAGCCTTTCTAACCTCCTCTTCACTTCTTACATCAACGATACATGGCAGGCATTTACCACCAAGGTCTTCAACTGTGAAAAAAAGTTAAATGTTTTACAGCTAAACTGTTTCGACATGTTCCACTGAAACCTTTTTGCCTTAGGGGTCATCCATAATTGTCAATCATTTTCCAAAGTGTACAAAACATACACTGTTTCAGACCCCCTACCCTCCCTCATAATGTGTACATCAACCATTTTCAGATTTCAAGACAAGAATCAATCATTCTTAATAAAAAGAAGATCCTGTCTAGTATAGTTAAGTTTAATATAGAAATTTGCATTGAAAATAAACTGAAACATATCTGACTGTTTTATTTGATGACATCTATCTGTGATGCTTGTGTTTTGTCAGAATAATGAGTATAAAGATACCATTTTTTTTTTGTAAAACGTACGGTAAAAATGTTGATTTTTTAACCCCCTCCCCCCCCCAAGTGTACGTTTTGTACACTTTGGAAAATGGTTGACAATTATGGACGACCCCTTAGAATTGTCAAATGTTTATTATGTGTCAGACTTTCTGGCCTTTATTTACTTTATAGGACACTGTACCCAATGGTTAGGGTTCAGTTTAGGAATATGAATAAGTTAGGGTTTGTTTTAAAGAAGGGTTAAGTTTCAGAGCCAGAGTTAATTTTAGAGTAAGTGTATATATTATTTTTAGTTAGGGTTATGTATGAGTAAGGGTTAGTTTTTAACTTTTATTGTTAGGGTCAATTCAATATAGGCCTGTATGGTTTGGGTCCTCTAGGTCAATAAAGGCAGATATAAAGTTTGTGTACACAGGAGTCATGGGAATGGGAATGAACACTATTTGATTATGGTTTAGTTGTTTTAAACTTGTTCTAAACGACATTTTTTACATACCTTCCTTAGCAGCTGTGTAAATGGTTCCTGGAAGTTTAGGGTGTGCTTGGGCTGTTTTGGCAGCTATTACAATATTTGCCCCATCTCTGGCTGCCTTTAAAGCTATAGCTTTACCAATACCCCGACTTGCACCAGTTATAAAGATTGTCTTTCCAGCAAGTTTCCTATAACAATAAGAGATTAAATCAAATCACTTTACATTTTGACAGTCAAAAGAACATAGGCATTTTGATTTTTCTAGCATGCTCTTATTTGCTACACGTTGTTCAACCAGGTCTGCAGAGCTCCTGGTAATTTGCTCTCTTTTTCACATAATCTGGGAACAATAGACATGTATTAGTCCAAGACATTACACATCAGTTTGCAAATTGCAAAAAATGTACTGGATATTTGAAATCTCATACAGAAACCAGTTTTCTTTTTCTAGAGTGCCATCATTCAGTATGTTCTTTAAATCTAATTGACTGAAATAGTCCTTGGAATACTTTCACCTATTTTAAAATACATGTATGAATTACCAAAATAAATGACACTTTATTAAAACAAGATTGCTGCACCCTTTTTTAAATGAGCAAATAAGCAGTCTAAGAGTAAACTGTGGAATAACAGGAGATATAAAGAGAATGATGAAACATAAATACATTTTTATTTAATACCATCTTTGCTAGCCAAGGGTAACAATACGGCCTGAGGATGAGGAGGCCGAATCCTTACCTTTGGCTTGCAATCCTTTTACAATCAAGAATTACTTTATGTAGACTATCAAGTTGCAAGTTAATAAAGCTGAGTTGCAAGTAACAAAAGACTTAAGTAAGCGGAGTTATGAGATATACATGTAAACATTGAGTTGCGTTCGACTCCAGTCTGAACCACAAATAAAAACTGATTGCCATTCAATATTCTAGAGTATTGAAAGTGGCATTTAATACAAATAATCAATCAAGCAATTTAAATTTTTAAAGAAAATTGCAAGCCCTCCTTTCAGCAACAATTGCCATCAACTTTAATATTTACTAATGATATAAATCATTAATTTTTTCATATATTTAAAACTTTCATAACTTGCAACTCAATTTTTGTAACTCGCAACTAGACTTTTATAACTTGCAATCCGACTTTTGCAACTCGCAACTAGACTTTTGAATCTTGCAGCTCAAATTTAATTACTCATAACTTGACTTTAATAACTCAAACTCGACTTATTAAACTTGCAACTCGATTTTGTAACTCAAAACACGACTTTTGAGACTGGCTAATCGTTTTTTGTAACTCTCCACTTGATTTTTTTTACTCGCAACTCGACTTTTGAAACTCGCAACTCAACAATTCAAAACTCTCATTACAAACTATAACAACTGATGATGCTGCCAAAGCTGGAAAGAACATTCTTTAGTCTTGGTTCTGGGGCTAATATTGTCACAAGCAAGACAAAAACAACTTTGGAAAAATGGAAAACGTAGTCGTAAAGATGGCTTTTGGAGGACAGGTTGTCACATGTAGCGTTGAATTGACTTCTGAATCTGAATCTGAATAGGTACGTTGCAGGGCCAGTATATGGCATCAATGGAAACGGAAGAGAGGCGCTGGAAAATTAGTCCAACGATGTACATTATGTTATAGCAACCAAAGTTTTAAAGCTCTCGATTGTCTTGGCACACAGAAGATTGTCTGGTAGTCTTTTCCAATCGGAAATTGTTCTTACAAAGAATGACTGTTTCTATTGGTCAGATTTACTAGGTGGAATTTTGAAACACCAGCTGTTGTTTTGTACAAATTTATTTACAATGTTTGTTGTTTTATAGTCACTTAATTGACAGTACCACGATTTTATTTGACGTAGTTACTAGTTGACTTATGTTGATAATTATAACTTAGTCACTGTGACCGTCTTACTTTTTGCCTTGCAAAATGCTTCAATAAAATATTTACATATGCATCTTTGCAAATATATTATTATGTTTTCATTTATATTGGCCAAAAAATCAACTATTCCTACCCGGTATTTGCTGCCATTGCTCTTATTTGCCCACTGTCAAAACTTGTGTAGACTTTGGACTTGTCAGATGCCGGTAAGATTTTTCGATTAATTCATAAATCAGAATTACAAAAAAAAAAGAATTTAAAGAATCCACAATATTATTTGCTATGAAATACATTTTTTTAAATTTAAGATATTTGGTAACTATTCTTAAAATTAATATGAGAGTAAGGAGAAACAAACATTTTAATAAGGTTTTATTAAAGAATAGTTTTAAGCTTATAAAGTTCGTTTTTATTAAAAATTAATTCTGAATTTCTATTTACCGTTAACAACAAAAGTTGAAAGTCCACCTCTGTCTACAAAAAGCATAATTTATTATGTGAAGGTATAATTTTAATGATATGGGCATATCTTTTTAGACTATTCTTTATTCGAAAGAAAAGTTTTCCACTCAAATTAGAAAATGACACACAAGATTTGGATATCAAACATGTCAAAATTGAAATCATCAGATGGCTAAAAATTTGTAACTTTTTGTTTGCTAACCAAGTAAGAAAGAGTAAGAGTAGGGTAAAAAGACGTCTTGAAAGCATATTTTATTTTTTTGCTTTGACATCTTCCTTGCATTTCCTGAGGTCCCTAAAAAAACAAAAGAAAAAGAGGTAATGACAATTCGGACATCCTTCTTCTTTCAGTTTCCGCACTCCATCATAATATTGATGACTATGTGCCGTGCTAGGGCCACATCTGTTTTTTTTTTCTTGTTTTTTTTTTGAACACATAAAGATGAAGCTTATGTTTAATAAATGAAAGATAACATGATAAAACAGCAACAAGGACGTATAACTAACAATATTACGTCCTTGTTACATATTAAAAAAACAGCTGAGTACAGGATGCAAAAAAATATTCCATCAGAGAGTAACATACCCCAAGTTTAGTAATTTCATTCGTCAGATAAGACGATGTGATTTTGTTAACAGTACATTAAATGAACAGACTCACAGGACGATAGAAATTACTGGCCCGCATCCTATCATAATCCTACAGGATGTCAAACCAACACTACACAAAACAAAGGCAGAGAAGATGATTCTGCTGAAGCTGAACTTTCACTTTGGACCATTAGTCAATATATAGTGTTTAAATGATGATTGACTTACAAATTAAGTTGTTTTGACCAACCTTTGGAAGATTATGGCTCTGATTGGACTATAAAATTTCAATGAAAATTGTACCCCTGTACAAACCTTTTTGTTTAAAATATCTTGGCCCAAGCAGATCTGCAGCTGACTTTTGGTACATTTGTGTATAATGATGACTTGCATATCGTATGTGTGTTTCATTCTGATTGACCCGTCTGATCAAGGAATTGCAGATGACATTTCACAATAAGTCAGCAAGCAGGGGGGATTCCTGTGCTAGGGCCCATCTGTTTTTTTTTTCTTGTTTTTTTTTGAACACGGATAAAGATGAAGCTGAAGTTTTATAAATGAAAGATAACATGATAAAACAGCAACAATGCTAAAATAGGGTTTGGATGGGGTTAATAGAATAGAGAATAATGTGCAAAAAGTGCAGAAAAATATGCAAACAAAATAAAGAATAGAGAAAAATGGGGTGCATGCTTAAGTATCAAGAATAGAGAATAAGGGGCAAAACAAAAAACGAATAGAGAAAAATGGTCTAAAGAATTAAAGAATACAGAAATAAAGGATGAATCAAAAGCAGAGACCAGTGTTGGACTGGTTATCTATAAATCCATAAAATTAGGTGTACATATAAAAAAAAAAGATGATGTGGTATGATTACCAATGAGAAAACTCTCCACCAGATACCAAATAATGTAGAAGGTTAGCAACTGTAGGTCACCATATGGCCTTAACAATGAGCAAAACCCATGCAGCATAGCAAGCTATAATAGGCCCCAAATGATCAATGTAAAACAATTCAAATGAGAAAACTAAAGGCCTGATTTACGTACAAAACAATAAACGAAAAATAAGTACTACAGTATGTATACCTATATAAATATATAAACAGTTAACACAAAAAATAGATTTATGTTTTTCAAACTACCATGAACATTGGCAATACATGTACGAGCAGGTGCTCATGCCTCACATGCAACAACTGTTGTTTTTGCCATATTCCTGGAAATGCAAATGCCTGGGCTGGTTGAAGAATTTTTATGTTTAATTTTTAAAGAAATTTGAAAAAATTCTCATGATTTAATTGTTAAAGTGTTGATTTGCATAAATATCCAGTTTATTTACTCACTCTGAATTGATTGATTTGTTGGAATATCCAGTTAGTATATCCCTCTGATTTTGTTGACTTGCATTAATACCCAGCTTATTATCTCCCCCTGAATTGGTTGATTTGCATGAATATCCAGTTATTATTGGCCCCTGATTTGGTTGATTTTCAGTATATTCAGCTTATTATCTCCCCCTGAATTGGTTGATTTGCAGGAATATCTATTTATTGTCTCCCCTGATTTGGTTGATTTTCAGTATACTCAGCTTATTATCTCCCCCTGAATTGGTTGATTTGTAGGAATATCTATTTATTGTCTCCCCCTGATTTGGTTGATTTTCAGTATACTCAGCTTATTATCAATCTCTCCCTAAATTGGTTGATTTGCAGTAATATCCAGTTGTTATCTCCCCCAGATTTTGTTGACTAGCTCTAATACCCTGCTAATTATCTCCTTCAGAATTGGTTGATTTGCAGTTATATCCAGTTTATTATTTCCCCTTGAAATGGTTGATTTGCAGTAATGCCATCCAGTATAGTAAAATTCTTAATTGGTTGATTTGCAAAAATTTTGTGTTATTATCTCCCCCTGAATTATTTGATTTGTAGTAATATCCAATTTATTATCTTCTTCTAAATTGGTTGATTTTAAAAGATTCTACAACACCATCCCTTGATTGAAATATTTAACCAGTTGATAGTAAAATTTTAAAGCGTTTAAATGCAAAGTATATCAAGCATTTAATTTTTTTTTTAATTTTAACTATGGAGAGTGGATAAATAGTGTAGTCAATGGGGTAAAGTAGTAAGATCTGTTACTGTATATTGTTTTAAAGGAAAGAGTGCAATGTAATAATTGGATATGACTGGAAATTACACAAGACAAATTGAATCAATGTGTGGTTTATTAAAATTCATCAAAACTGTTCAGAACCAGTTTAAATGCATATAGAATTAAAGAAGCAGTAATATCCAGTTTATTATCACATCTGAATTAGTTGATTAGCACTAATTTTCAGTTACCGGTATTATCTCCCCCTGAATAAGGCACCCAAGAAAAGGGATAATAATTGGATATACTAGTCTACCAATCACATCCACTTTTACTTTGTTTGCCCCAAATAAAAAGAATCATGACTTTCAATTGATTGATTAATTTATTTTACTTATATGTTTTTTTTAAATTCACCATGGCCTATATCAAATTAAGATTAGAATGCATATATACACACTTGCATATAACTTAGTAAAATTTAAAAATGTCCTTGATTTGGACAAGGTATTGCATGACAGTTATCCAGAAAGATCAAAATCTATTTTTAAGAATGGCCCCAATGGGAAACCTTTAAGGTCAGTTTTGTATTGACTTTTGTCATTTCATAGAGCTCAACATTTTGATAAACTGCTTTTCAAGATTCTTTTATAAGTTATTTTTGTCTTGCCTGCGACAAAAGTCGTGGAAAGCGAGACACAGGGATGGCTTTGACGGCGGTGGCGTCAACAATTGTTAAGTTTTCTGCTTAAGTTAGTTTGATAGGAACTACTTGTGATAGATCATTGATATTTAATATGAAGTTGCATTACTATCAGTACATATCAGTTTGACGACTATTTTGAGGCCCTGGGCCCTAAGTCATGGTCCTGTGACTTTGAATTAATAAGCAATTTTCAATGTTAACTTTTCTGCTGAAGTTAGTTTGATAGGATCTACTTGTGATAGATCAATGATATTTTGTATGAAGTTGCATTACTATCAGTACATATCAGTTTGACGACTATTTTGAGGCCCTGGCACCTAGGACATGGTCCAGTGACTTTGAATTAATAAGCAATTTTCAATGTTAAGTTTTCTGCTCGAGTTAGTTTGATAGGATCTACTTTTGATAGATCAATGATATTTTGTATAAAGTTGTTTACTATCAGTACCTTTTCTAGGCCCTGCCCACAAGATCATGGTCCAGCGACTTTGAATTAATAAGCAATGTTGCTGTCCATCAGATTGTCTTTTTCTGAATTTTATGTGGACAGGCGAGACATATCTCTGTGTCAACAATTTATTATTTTTATTTCAGCTATATTGTAAGCAAAGGTTTGAGTACTGGATATTAAAAGATTGAACTGCATCACAAGAGCTTCTAATAATGGATAAAAGGAAAAGAACTTTTGTTATAGGTGTTGGAACCACAAAATTTGAACGGCCACTGACCAAAAACTGGGACTATCATGACATGGGAAGAGAGGCTGGTATGGATAAGGGAAGACTGTAAATTTTCTCAACTAAAAGAGAAACTTGTTGTACAGGATTAGAAATATTTCAGAAACACAATCAAATAGTTTATTTTCAGACAGTAAACAGTAAAATGATAAGTCCTTTTTGATACTTGGACACTTACCTATTAAAAAAGGTCCAAAATCGGTCTCTTACAAGAAATAATATGGATTATTATAGGTTTAACACAGAGACAGTTAAGAGATTTGAAATTCTGAACATCTAAGATTTTTCATGGAAATTGATCTGGTTTAATAGGATTTCTTAATGTACATTTATAAACTAAATTACTATATATGCCTCTGTCTTGTTTTTTTTGTTTTTACTGTCATCTTCACCTGCTTCTGAAATCCCTATCAATACGTTTTGAATTCAGAGTACATTTAGAGGCGTACAAACATTTTGACCAAATTTATTTCCCATATCATAAAAAGAAAAAGATTTCAAAGCAGGAGACAGTTTTTATAGATTTCAGAGAGTACCATCTATTCATGTCACACTTCGAAGGCTAACTATGGAAAATCAGTTTTTAACCAGATTTTCGAAGTAAAAACTGGTTATTGATTTGGGGATGTATGGCGGGCGGCTGCCAAACAGTGTCGGTTCATTAACATGAAAACCCTTTGACAAAATTTTTCAAATTTAGATATGTTGTTTCCTGTGACTAAATGAAGGTCAAGTTTAATTTTCACTATTTTAGCTTTTCTCGTTGTTGAGTTATAGCCCTTTCCCAAGAATTCAATTTTTGATGAAATACTTATTAATTACTAGATTTCTGTTCAAAGGGAAATAACTCATTTTTTAAAAGATTTTTTAAAAACATTGTATTAATGATAAATGACATTTTGGATTTTTTTTCTTCTTTTTTTTGGTAAATTGTTTGAAGAATTTTGTGGTAGGTGTGTTTGTTATTCTGTATAAACTAATTTTCTGAATGCTATATATAGATTTCTTTTGGATGAAGTGAACTCTTTTAATTAGATAATAATCTATTTTTAATAAAGGAAATATTTCATTACATTACATTGTGTAGATGATAGATAAGTTGCAGATCTATATTAGTTTGTGACAAATGCAAGAAAATAATACTTGGAACTATTAATTATATTTGATTATAATTTGAAAATAGATATACATTGTGTTACATCATATCTAATTTTAGAGAACTATTTAATTTTTTAGTGGTTAGATCAAATCTAACTTTAGAGAACTATTTTTGCTTTATTAGTTTCTGTTCAAAGGGAAATAACTCAAACTTATTTCCATAAACTAGTAATCATAATATAAGTATATGGATTTTGTTCAATTAATTTTAGTCATTACTTGTCAAAAACTTCTTTATAACTATTTTTAACATATTTATTAGTTAGAAATATAGTCTTATGAGGAATATTCGGAAGCTAAATTATTGTTCATTCGGAACACCTATTCATCTTATCTGTATTAGCTTCCTGCAATTAAGAGCACCTCCATACTGTGTATCTAAGATGATTTAAAACTTGGCAATAAAGAATTTTCGAAGATCGCTAATTCACTTATCTGATATATGATAAACAATCTATAGATCCTTTTCAAACATGTATATTTATTGTAAAGCTACACTTTATGCATTGCAAGGGTTTACTGGCTTGAGCAAAGTTGACAGTTGTACCGTTTGATAAACAAGTGAAAGTTAAATGGTCAAGATTTAATTATAACGACCCATGGTATCAAACATCTGGTAAAAGGAAGGGTCTGAACACGGAAACACGTGAAATAACAAATCGCAAAAACGTTGCACGGAAAAAAATCTCTGGAAAAACGAAGCCAAGGAATAAAATCGTAAATATTAAGGAAAAAAGTACCAAACATTATTACTCATCCGTTTTTGGGGATCATGCAGTCATTATAAATGGACATGGCAACCCTGCATGTGGTCACCTTTTAGCATCCGTTAGTTGCATCCGATTTATTATATAATACAATAGGCTATTAATAAATATCTTGGGAACAGTTAATTAGTTTATAATTTAAAACAATATTTGGGCTGACTTTGAATTAGTCCCGGTTTACTTTTTAATCAAATGCGGGACAAGCACGAGAAAATAAGAGTACCAACACGAAACACGGAAAATAATTATTGCAAAACACGAAGCACGCACATCGAACCAAACACGAGAAAACGAGAAATAAAACGTCGAAACACGTGAAATAAAAAGGCCGAAAACGTTGCACGAAAATAACCCTTTACCACCCTCTAAATAGGCCATACTAGATGTCGACACCTCATATCAGAACTTAAGTAGATGGTCAATTTCGTTTGCAAGGTTAAAGAAATCTTCACCTTGCTCTAATTCGCCTGTGAAGACCATAAAACCGTCATCCCTATTGACAGTGTAATTTGATGTTTTCTCTCCATTGGAACTTATCTAAGATTTTAATGAATAGGGCAGACATATGCAGATCTGTGTAGTATTTCTGTTTGTATCCATCTGATGAGTTAAGCTTTTTTCAACTGATTTTTATAGTTCGTTCTTATTTTGTACTGTTACACCACTGTCCCAGGTTAAGGGGAGGGTTGGGATCCCGCTTACATGTTTAACCCCGCCACATTCTGTATGTATGTGCCTGTCCCAAGTCAGGAGCCTGTAATTCAATGGTTGTCGTTTGTTGATGTGTTACATATTTGTTTATCGTCCATTTTTTGTACATAAATTAGGCCGTTAGTTTTCTCGTTTGAATTGTTTTACATTTGTCATTTCGGGGCCTTTTATTGCTGACTATGCGGTATGGGCTTTGCTCATTGTTGAAGGCCGTACGGTAACCTATAGTTGTTAATTTCTGTGTCATTTGGTCTCTTGTGGAGAGTCGTCTCATTGGCAATCATACCACATCTTCTTTCTTATATTTATAATTAAATCAAGTAAGTATATCTCTCGCGGGAGAGTTACACTTATTGATGATTGGTTGGTAACGAACATTAATGTGTCCTGCTAGCTGACCAGTTCGCAATGCCTCATTACTTATTTCTAGATTAATTTTATGAATTTTTGGAAGAAGGTACATGTGTCCTCCATGTTTTGAATTATTATTATTCTTTAAGAAATTATACGTCTGGGAATCTTTTTTTTCTCTCCTTGCTTTATATTTAACACTTCTCTCAACATGCCAAAATTGTAATGATTTACAATAAAAAGAAAATATTATCCTCCACACACATGGCCAAGATAACACTGATATATAATTTCTTATTCAGTTGAATTAATAATAAGAATAAAAAAGTTCTAAGGTTCACGTATTGTCTTTTTTTTTTTAAAAAACAACTTGTTTTTAAGTCATGTGTGTTATGAAGGTAGATGTCACAGTTGTTATGTGGTATTTTATTTTTGTTGTGTGTGTTAATGTTTAATTTTTACATGATCCTGTTTGGGGGTTCAGATTTGCAAATATCATTTTCATTATTAATTAGATAATATACTTTTTTAAATATTCAGTCACAATCCAAATTCAGAGCTGTTTTAAGCTTAAATGTTGTGTCCATGCTTCCTCAACTGTTCAGGGTTCGACCTCTGCAGGAAAATCTGGTTTGCTGTCACTCTGACAGCCTCTTGCTATATCTCTGATTTTACTATAAGATTAAACACATTTTTCTAGAGGTTATTGATTTGTAAACTGGGGCGATTAACTCACAAACTGAATAAAAGTCCTTCATTATGTAAATTTTGTATTTAAGCGACCCAGTTTACACATCAATAACCTCTAGAAAAAATGTGTTTAATCCTTATAATTCTTAAGCAAAACATTAGCAATTATTAATTAACATTTTTGTTTGTTCAATGGCTACTATTTACCACCAAATGCACAATGATTAACATGTCGTAAGTTTCGTAACTGAGGAGTTGGCCTCCATTTTGACCTTCTGAAATCCATATGTGTTCTATTGATGCAATAGAATCTAAAATGAAATAACACCTACCTCAAAAACTTCATTTTAATAATAAATTATCCGAATTTGAAGCGTATAGTAAGGAAATAATCTTCAGCTTGAAAGTTTATGTTTGTATGATGTCATGTTTTGCCATGACGTTAACACGCCAAGATCATTCATGACTGGATATTTCACAGAATTTTTTAAAATTTTAATTTCATACATTTTCCAAGCTTTAATGCATTATTTCTTTTTGTGGTGCGTTAAAAAAAGAAACATGAGAAATGACAGTTATGTATTTGTTTTTTTTTTAAATCTCAATTTGCTTAGAACCCCTGGATCCCATGCATGTGTATCGCACATGAATAGATCATAGTGAAGGTTACAAAAGTAGTTTCGGGCAACATGGTTTATTGAAGTGTAAACCAAGGAAAAATTTCTAACGGACCAATTTGATTCAAGTATTTGTAGATATACGAATCGTATAAGAATTATATAAAATTGTTCTCAAAAATAAATTCATTGCATTTTTTTTTTACTTAAAGGTAAAGCAGCATTAGAGGATGCAAAGATTCCATATTCTAAGATTCAAGCAGTTGTGGCAAGTTATTGTTATGGGGAACCAACATGTGGACAGAGAGCTGCTTATGAACTTGGACTGAGTGGGGTACCAGTGTTCAATGTAAATAACAATTGTTCCTCAGGTTCTAGTGCCCTGATGTTGGCAAGGAGAATGGTTCAAAGTGGCATCGAGGACTGTGTCATGGCTTTAGGTACTAATCCATTGTGCACTAAATACTTTCATTATAATTTAATTATTATATTCCATTTCATATTATCCTGATCCTGTGTAACAATTATTATGTACTGACGCATCAAGTTTACTAGAAAACAGAATTCTTACACTATCCCATTTTCTTTTTTGCATAGATCTATAAAACTTAATAATCTAATTCATAATACAGTTAAAGGGAGATAATGGAAAAACAAATTGTAATGAAATTTGGAGACTTCAAAGTTTTTCTATCTTAGAATACTGAACAAATTTCTGTCTTCCCTACCTTTAATTAAATGAAATACTTTTAAATATCAAGAATAATGTATTTTAAATAAATATCATATACCTCAAGGTACATAAGTAATTTTAGAATAAATTCAGATTGACAATACATATAAAAAAAAGAAAAAATGTATGTCATTTTATGAGTATAAAAATGTGTAATAAATTATATTATTATATTTCAGGCTTTGAAAAAATGGAGAAAGGACTTTCTGAAAGATATCCAGAGAAGGAATCCCCTGTCAAACGTCACATGGATCACATGGTCAACATTGGAGCAGAACCTGGTCTGATTCAACCAAGAATGAATGCAATGACATCAGACGTTGTCAAATTGTATGCTTATGCTGCAAGAGAGTATTTGGAAAAGTATCCAGAAGCCAATATTGATGACTTAGTTAACATTTCATATAAAAATCATAAACAAAGTGTAAACAATCCTAAAGCCAGTATTTCTAAAGAAATATCTCATTCCGACATAAAAGATAAGTTAATGTTATGTCATCCAATCACATTTTGGATGTCTGCTCCTGTTGCCGACGGTGGGGCATGTGTTATTGTTTGTAGCGAAGACTTTGTCATACGTCATGCTCTACAAAGAAAAGCTGTAGAAATCGTCTCACAGCACTTAGTTACTGACATGCCATCATCATTTGAAAAAAGTTACATTGATTTGTCAGGGTACCAAATGGCGAAAGAAGCAGCGAGGAAATGTTTTCAAGAGTCTGGTCTCACTCCTGACAACGTAAATGTTGTTGAAGTTCATGACTGTTTCTCTTGTAATGAAATGTTAATGTATGAGGCTTTAGGACTTGCCAAAGAAGGTACAGGTTATCAGTTGATTAGAAACAGTGAATGGCGTAAAAATAAACAAGGTGGAGAAATGTGTTATTTGAACAATAAATGGGTTGTCAACCCTTCAGGAGGACTAGAGTCAAAAGGTCATCCAATAGGTGCTACAGGTAAGGAGCATAAAAGAAAGGAGCAACTTTTATGTGTAATGATTTTTTTACTGCCATATGTTCTTCATCTCAAAGTCACAGTGAGGCCTTCAACATGGAGCAAAAAATTCTCTCCCCTCACTGCAAGTTTAAGACAGCCCCTAGCACCGGCTTGAGCGGAATTCTTTGCAAAAATAAATTTGGATAGACTTTGTGATGTAACACCACCCAATCAGGCCCGGTAAAAAAGAAAATAGTTGAAAGTAGTACATATTTAAAACAAAATAGTATAGTAGTTTTCATACATGTATTTAGGATAGCATAACAAAACTCTTAGTAGATCCAATTTTATTACATTGAAATGGACCAATATCAGTAATTATAGAACTAATTTTTTGACATGTACATGTATGAATAAAATTAGATACAAGTATATGAGTAAGACAGCAACCATGAACACAATCACATTCAAAAGGGCATCCAGTGGATACTTCACAGTGCTACATATAATTTTATGAACAGTACATAACATTTTCCTAAGAAGTCCTCTTTATTAAAAGATCTAAAAGGTTTTGATGTAATCATGTCTTATCATGTAAATTAAACTAGCATCTCATCAGTAAGTATTTTTATAATGAACCTACAATGTATACATGAAATAAAATTTTCTTTACAATCTATTTTCAAACATGAAATTTTATAGTATTGAATTGTTTTAAAATGCTAAATGTCATCTTTGTTTGAAAATATATATCTGAAAGTTTAATGAAGCAACAAATCTGAACATTATCAGAAATATCAAATCAAGAGGGTTATTACAAAACCAAGAAAACAGAAGCATCAGATTTTTAAGAAATCCAAAACGTGTATCAAAAGCACAAGACAGAGATAGTTGAAATCAGAGCATCTGAGTCGGTAATTCAGTGTTCTCCTCAGAAATTTCTTATATCATCCTGGTAAAACGGAAATTATGAAATACCATCTTGTTTCTAGAAATTATAGCATCACATCCATAACACTATCTATAAGAAAATCATTTCCAATAGCATCACATTACCATGAAGCTAAAAGGTCCTGGGGAGAACACTGAGTATGAAAGATATTTGCCTATCATATCAATAGGTATACATGTATGTCAACAAACCATAACTCTGAAAGTAAATAAAAGAAATAAAGTCAAAGCATCAATTTTTTTATTCTTGCAGGTTTAGCCCAGTGTGCTGAATTAGTCTGGCAGTTGAGAGGGCAAGCTGGTAAACGTCAAGTCGAGGATGCTAAAATTGGGTTACAACATAACTTTGGTATCGGTGGAGCTGCAGTTGTTACATTATATAAAAAATATGGCATCCAACAAGCTAAATTGTAGAACAACACAATACCAAGGGGCAAGCTCTCATAAAATTTTGAAAACAGACAAAATGGTAGAACAACAGTGGGTTTATATAAGGGCCAGCATCCTACAATTTAAAAGAACAGACAAATCAAAATATGTTTGATTGACACTTGAATCCAAAAATGTATATATACGGTAATCTAGTACGGGTGATAATTTTTATCCTAATAATAGTATTTTAATTATGATACATGTGATTTTCTGATTTATAAAGACCACCCGCTTAGGAATATTAAGATAGAACTTGACAGATTTCTCATAATTTGTATTAAAACAGAAACATATACCAGTAATTGAAATATTATTTCATAACTTTTTGTATGCTATATATAAACAGAATACAAGTAAGGGCTATTCCATTAAAATGTATGTGGGAGGGTAGGAAGGGAAGTTTAATTATTGAATGTGGGTCATGGGTCTTTTTTCAGTATGTGTCTATTACCATTATGCAAATTATCTAAAAAATGGTTCTAGGTTGTAGGGATATTTTGAAAGTCCATTCCTACCCTCCCACATACATTTTAATGGAATAGCTGTAAAATATGGAAGACTAAATTATTATATTAACAACAATGATCATGTCATTTTGTGTTAAAATTATATGCATTGAAAGTGTAGTTATCATTCTAAATATAACAGTTTTCATTAAATAATTAGTTCACTGAAATAATTGGATTTATGCATTTTTTTAACACAAGAATGAATATATATTTGTTTTTTATCTAAAAATTTTAAAATGCAAAGTTATAATTTACTGTTAAATTATTTTATGTATTTTTATCTTTAATTTGTTATTGATTTGAAAAATATGTTAAATTAATGTACACAAATATGTGCACTTGGCAGATTTGACCTGTGAATACACCTTAGTTTTAGAGTTGATAAAAAATAAGAAGGTATGATTGCCAATGAGACAATTGTTTCCCTTAAAAAATATCAATTATTCAAGCAGGTGAAATATTTCATTTTTTCAATCAAGGATTTTTATAGTAAATTACTATACAAATCCTTCTTTCAACTTTTGTTACTGATTTAAAAATTGCAAGTTACTGTAGAATTTGTTATAACAATATGTTATTATCATCATTATTGTTTTAATTAATAATTTAAATACCTTAGGCATAATCAGAATGATCTGTTTAAAAATTAGAATAGTCAATGTTTAGTTTTGATTGAAGGTTTTATTATTCAGTATTCCTAAGATTTGTAAAATTGTTGCCATTCCAGAGAATAAACAGATAATGTGAGTTGAAGTTTTTTGTTTGTTTTTAGCATTAAACGTGTAAATTAAAAGAAATGGCGATGCAAAATTGATTATCATACATGAGGGGATATTTATACTGTTTTAACTGTCTGTCTGATGAAATTTTTCTTCCTCGTTTTCTCAGCAACTAAAAATCAGAGCTTCCAGAATACTTATATATTCTTACACTTAACAGCCTACTGTGAAATTTTCTTCATATTTTCTCAGACGCTATGAATAATAGCTTCCTAAAATTTGGTATAAAGGTTTATGTGAGCATGAATTACTATATGTTCCATTTTAACATGTACACAAATCAACTTCCTTTTTACTGAATACTTATAGCAGGGGTATCATTAATAAGCAGTTGCTCACAGCTCAATTTGAGGTTCTTCAGATTTGATTGCAATACATTTTGTCAAACAAAATGTTTATAAATTTACAACACCTCTCACAATATCTACAAACAAATCATCTTAATTTCTCTTCTTTTTCTTTGGAAAGAAGTCAAGTTATTGCCGACGCCTTAAATTAGGTTTCAAACAGAGATTTTTTTATCACTGAAAAGTAAAATTGAGAATGGAAATGGGGAATGTGTCAAAGAGACAACAACCCGACCATAGAGCAGACAACAGCCAAAGGCCACCAATGGGTCTTCAATGCAGCGAGAAACTCCAGCACCCGGAGGCGTCCTTCAGCCGGCCCCTAAACAAATATGTATACTAGTTCAGTGATAATGGACATCATACTTAACTCCAAATTATACACAAGAAACTAAAATTAAAAATGATACAAGACTAACAAAGGCCAGAAGCTCCTGACTTGGGACAGGCGCAAAAATGCGGCGGGTTAAACAGTTTTCTTTCAAAAACATATCTATATATTCAACATCATATTTTGCTATTATTTCCTTTGAAATTGTTGGCAGGTAGTTTTTGTTTTCTCGTGTAATGAAGCCATGAAGGCGGGCTATATAATATCCATGGAAACGATACTTGCAAATGCCAAAAAATTTGCATACCAAATATCATTGACTTAACATTAGCAGTTCATCTTAAACTGATCTGATCACAAACTAATACACGTAAACTAAGCAAAAGTTTCAAAGTAAATAGACCATGACTGAGGGGGAGGGGCCAAATATTCTCCATGGAAATGAGATGTGCTAATGCTTATACAACTGAACACCAATCGGGCATGGGGTAATTGTAATGCATGGTAATGCATTACATTTTTCCAAGTAATTGCATGTAATGTGTAATGCAGGAATTTGTGCATTACATGTAATTGTAATATAATGCATTACTTTAGCAAAAAGTTGTGTAATTTCATGCATTACATGGCATTACATTTTTCACATACTACATCTTTAACATATTGTTGGAGTTTTAACTAAACCAAATTTAAGATTTCTTGATTAACTAAAAATATGTAAGTCATTAGAATATATTCTTTATTTCATCTTATTTCATACATTTTCCTGCATAAAAAGATTGATATTTGAAAATCATAACTGTGTTGTTGTCATAAGATCAAAGAATATCTTGTCTTGCTTAAATAAAAGATAATTAAACTTTGTTATAAACACTAATTAGTTTGTTTTATAATCAATATTTTCACCATTTAGACAATTTTTCATTAATTAATGTCTATGTTTATTTTATAATTAGGGAAGTAATTCACAGTAATTAAATATTTCGTTTAAAATTAAAAAAAATAACAACAAAAAGTATATTTATAAAAGTAAAGTCAACATTAAGTTAAAATAATTAAAATTGTAAAAGTCGAATTAAATAGACTTTTAACATGTATACTTATATTCAATTCATGGAACAGTTACTGCATATGCTAGAATCTTTTGTGACTTCTAGTTGTTTTTCAAAATGTTTAATTTTTCTGGTCACTTAATAAAATTTTCAAATGTAATGTGTAATTCAAGGCATTACTTTGCAAAAGTAATTGTAATATAATGCATTACTTTGATAAATGCATGTAATTGTAATTGTAATATAATGCATGGTTTGGTCAAAGTAATTGTAATATAATGCATTACATTGCAATGTAATTCACCCCATGCCTGACACCAATTAACATTGGCCTACCACTAATGGTTCCCCTTGAACTAACCTAATCACAAACTAATACATGTTAACTTAGCAAAATTTTCAAAGTCTATAGACCATGACTAAGGGGGCGGAGCCAAATAATCTCCATGGAAATTAGATATGCCAATGCTTATACAACTGCATACCAAATATCATTGACCTACCACTAGTGGTTCCCCATAAATTGACCTAATCACAAACTAATACATGTAAACTATGAAAAGTTTCAAAGTCAATAGACCTTGACTGAGAGGGCGGGGCCAAATAATCTCCATGGTAATGAGATGTGCTAATGCTAATACAACTGCATACCAAATATCATATACCTACCACTAGTGGTTCACCATGAACTAGACCTAATCACAAACTAATACATTGTTGACACCGCCGACACCGGAAACAGCATACCTATGTCTCGCTTTTTGACTCCGTCAAGGCGAGACAAAAACCATTTCAGACCTCTATTATCAGAATAATTTGAAGATGCTTTTAAATTCTATAGCATTTTGATCTATTCACTCTTGTATTTCACTCCAGATTACCTTCTTTTAGTGGACTTATGTCCCTTGGAATTGACAGCAAACAGTGACATTTTTAATTTTGTCCCAACAGTAGTAGTAATTTTGGAAACCAGTATTCTCAATGTATTGTAATAATACCTTTTTCTGGATGATAGGATGCAGGTACTGTAAATTCAGAATTTATTGTGTGCATTTGTTATTGCAATTGTTGAAAATCGGCACAAATCCTTGATTTATTATTGTGATTAAAGGGAAACGCTCCATAGAATACCGGTAAATCAAAATGCTATAAAATTTAAAAGCATCTTCAAATTATTCTGATAATAGAGGTCTGGAATGTTGTTTTTTTTAGGGAAATATGTCTCATCCCAATTTTCACAACAATAAAAAGAAAACAATAATTTCTGAGTTGTATACATGTCTCTGTCAAAACAAATCTTGACCTCCATTTTATCATGAGAAACAACATATTAAAATTTAAAACAGATCGGATTAAGCGTTCTCAAATTGTAGTACAGAATTGATATGAACTGCTATTTCCCAATCAATCAAAGACCATAATATCTGAAAATCAATTAGAAACAACATATGAACATTTAAAAAGCATTGGTTTAAAGTTCTCAAGATCCAGGGAACAGACTTAACTGCTTGCCTGACTACCCACCCATTTAAGTTACTTACAGAAAAATTGATGACTAGATTTTCCGTCAGAAATTAAGAAATCCAGTTATTGGCAACACCAGTCTATTGTTGAAGACTGTATGTTGACCTCACAGTTACTTTTTTGTTATTAATAATGTTTCTGTCTCATGGAAATATATCCTACATCTACCTTTATTCATCTTCTGATTTTATCAGTATCTTGAAAATACAAATTTGAGGAGGTTGCTAAAAGATAGCAAACAAGGAAATTTTTAAAATCTATCTCTTGATCTATGAAACTATGTGTGTATATAACAACAATGGGCAATATGGTAAGAATTACTTCTTTATAATCATTCTTGCAATTGGAGTAACTAGACAATATGACAATCATCACTCAATTCTGTGTAGGAGTTACATCCCTTAAAGGATGGACCCCCCACCCCCCCCTTTTTTCTGTTTTTATTGGAGATATCAGAGATATTCTTATTGCATTGTTCCAATTACATGCAAAAATGCAGGTGAGAGATACAGGCTCCTTGGATCCTTTAGTTTGTTATGAAATTATATAAGAAAAGATCATCTGAATAACAGTAAATATTCAGTTTTGAAATACCTTCTAGGTTTTAATTTTAATTACCTACGCGAAATCATTGTCAGTGTTGTCTATTTTTTATAATTCATCTTTTCTTGAACGGAATTTCCCCAACTTCTTTTCAAAGCCCATTACATGTATATGAAGATACACAAACAGGTAAAATCTAGGGTGTAGTATACATGTACTTGATCACTTTTTTAAACAATCACCTTATCTTGGTGCCTTTTATAGCTTCCTGTACTAGATTGGTTTTGCTCATTAATGAAGGCTGTATGGTGACCTGTAGTTGATAACATCCTTGTTCTTTTGTCTTTGTTGCTAGCTGTCTCATATGTTATCATAGCACATCACATTGTTTTTATATTAATGCATTAATTTTTTTTCAACTATCCTGAAAACTTATTTGTCTGAATTTTTAAATACACAAAACAGATTCAGATGCAAATCAGGATTTTGAAAAAGGGGGGCCCACTGGCCCCCAAACTAGACGAAGTTTGGAGAGGAACAGGTAAAAAGTCTGGATTAACCATAAATGTATCTCCATAAAGGGTGGGCTGGTACCGAAGACCCTGCTCCCACTAAATCCACCTCTGAGATTGACAATGGTACAAGCACAACATGTACTTACATTTATTAAGAGTTATTTGTATTGCACCTTCAGTATGTTTATTATTCTTAAATTTATGAATATATAAATAACATACAGTGTAATATATAAAACTTATTTGTCACAGCTGGTAAAGCAAACAACAACCAATCAATCATATAAAACTTTCTCCAATGTTTTCAACCACAGTTTTTCTTTCTTGGCATGTGAATTCTGTCGTTTTCTTGAAATCAATTAATTTAGATAAACAAACAACACAATTTAGCTGTTTCTTAAAATATATACATGATACATTGTGTAAGGTGTTTCCATTTGACATCATTGCTGGGGTACCAAAATGTTGAATATGCATGACTTTTTTTTTGCTAAAACCACTTTTTCACACAAACAGATTTGACGGGAGGAAAGCTCTAATTTCCAAATACATTTAGACCAATCAAAACATTTGAAAAAAGACATGTAACAAAAATGTCCATCTTAATTGTTTGTAAAGTTTGCTTCCAAAATGTTGTATATATATACTTATAATAGTTGTAT